TGTCAACAGAGAATCAATAAAAATGGAAAAGTAGGTAGTAATTTTAGAAAAAATACATGATCTAGAGCTCTTAGATGTGTTTTTACAATTAATAATCAGAATCTTTTGTAAAATATGACCCAAGAAAATATAAAATATACTAATCAAAAAAACCGACAAAATTTTTGTCTTTCTGTTTTCAAAGTGCTGTACTGGCTTTCTGCTTTACAATGGTTATGAAGGCTTTCCTCAAGAATGAACCATTGTCTCTGGCTGAGATATCAATTGTCCATTAGTATGCGCAGCAATGGCAAATTCTACATATACTAATATCAAGCAGAATTTGCGTTTAGCTGAAAATGATACATTAGATAAAACTGAAAAGCTTTTCTAATATTCATGTCTAATTATATATTTTGAATGTCAATTTCATCCAGTAAGAGATTTTTTCAACCATTTGGTCTCTTTTTCAACACATCTTTCTATCGACGAGCAAATAATACCTTATTTTGTGGGTATTTGTGTAAAACGTTTTTCCAAATTGAAACCTGTTCGTTCAGGTACAAAATGGTATTTGTGTTGTTCTGAAGGGTATGTGTGTCATTTTAATATGCACTGAGGAAAATTTGCAAAGAAACTCACTGATCTTGGACTTGGTGGAGATGCTGTAACACATCTTTTAAGTGTGGTGGAAGTTTTTTCCAAATCATTACATATACTTCAACAATTATGTAGCATTGCATAAGTAATTTTCACTGTTGCATTGTCAAAATTGAAAGAGCTATGATTTCATGCTATGCAAATAACTCACGAGAACAAGTTAAAAAATTATTTCAACGTACTTGTAAACAAAATCATAAAAGAAGAGAATGTGGAACATATGACAGTGTATTTGATAACAAACATGGCATTTGCAGTAGTTTGATGGAATGATAATTCCATAGTAACTATGGCAACTAACTTTGACATAACTGATGTGCATTCAGCGGCCAAGAGATACTTCATTTTACATTATAAATCACATTTAAATAAATAATAGGATGGGATATATAAGTTTAGATAATTCAGTATAATTTGATTTCAAATGAAAATGTTGAAAAATATTACTTCAAAAATTTCGTTTAATTAATTAAATGAGCATAATTCAAAATGTTATTCATCAGTCTATCTTAAATGTTCTAATTCGTTTTTTTTTTTTTAACACACGCTAATGTTTCGTTATTTAGCGTAAGTATATTAATAAATCTTGTTTTTACGATTTTTAATCAATTTTTCTAAAAAGTAAAGTTATTTGGTAATTCTGGATATTTTCTTTTTTGTATTTACAGTTTGCAAGAAATGGCATCACGATGATTAGTATAATGAAGTGTTGTGGAAATCAGCTGAAGTTTCTCAAGAAGATGATGCCTAAATGAAACATAAAATATAAAATCTTATTTCAAATTTTAACTAGCTATATTTTATGTATCTGTATTTATGTATTTTGATTTCATGCATATGGCTGTAAATAAAAATATTTGTTTTAAACACTCATTTAACTGTGAATAACTAGTTACAGGTATCACATTCGTGCCATAGGTAAGAATTTTATTTTTAATGCAGTTGTGTATGCAGATGATTTACAAATATTGCATTCATATAGATTGTTTCCAGTGTATGTAGACATGTTTATTTAAATGATGCAGGCATGCAACTGATCCATCACATATAACTTGTTCATGTGGTGTCTGTTTAGTATGATTAAGATGTGTGTTTTTATGTGATTTTTGAGTATAACAGATAGCAGGTCCCAGCATGCCACCAGGTACGCTCTACGAGGTTCGACATGCATTACTACAGGAATGGGCGCTACTGCCACAACAAGCGATCAACGATACTATTGCCAGCTTGTCTCTCTGTTGTTAAGCATGCATTTCAGCTAGAGGATATCATACTCATAATTAGCACGATATTTATATTACACATTCTTTCAAGCCATTTGATCTTTCACGATGTGATGGTCGTAATACATTTGCTTTTCTATGTCTTTGCTTTATTGTTTTCTATGTTGTGTTAGTAGTGCCACATCAACCTCTTGGATCAGTTTCATTTATATATCCAATTAAATAATATTTGTTTTAGTCTGTGTTTTATGCTGATTTTTTGAGCAGGAGTATTATATTAATATGTCTTCAGATGTGCTTTTTAATGTGCTGTGTGTGTATCAGTTTCCTTTTCTCTTTACAAATAGTATACATTGCATAATTTTCCTTTCTGAATTTTCGAGTGGTAAAATTGGTAAGAGAAGGGGGAAATATGTTAGTATACAGGTTATTTCAGGTTGAATTATAAATGTATATAAATTGTGAGCAGTGCCAAATGTGTTGCCAAATGTACGGCACCAAAAATGCTGGAGCTAGTTCTAAAAAACAATACCTGTAACTTGCACTTTTAATTACTACCTGATTTCCTGTTGCTAGTATTTCATGACCCCACATAAGTGGGTTGCACTGATCCATATGACTAATCATATTTACTTATGCAATTCCTGATTAATTATGTCTTAAAAATTATTTGTAATGGCTGTTTTGAACTTTCTGTCATTGTTATATATATTTTTTCTTTCTAGGATTTTTATATGTCCTCTGTGCAGTTGAATTCTCTAACTTGCCTTACTTTTTAATCATTTGCTTTGCATACATTCATGGGTCTAATTTTGTAAAAATGATATATATGTTAAGTGTTTATTTTTACAAGTCTAAAATATGTAACATGTACAGTTGAACTATTCGTGTTATTTCTCATATATAATGGTCACAAAAGCATAAAACGCATGAACATTTTCATTTGAATTAAATTTTAAATATTTGTAGAACAAAAAATAAAGATTTTTACCATTATATTTAGCACATTTTTCTATTGATCATCTAAAAGGTTTACAAAAGATGAAAAAAAGAGACCGTGAATGCTTTTGAACTAAAACTGTGCATAATTTAAGGTTACATGAACTACAGAATGAATTTTTTGGATCTAAGTTATGATTTATTATCCCTTTCGCAGCTAAATTTCATGAGAACCATTTCATACAAACAAATTTTGATGTTTTGTGGGAAGAAAACTTTACATTAATTATTAAAAAATGTCATTTTTAAAATGTCATTGCAATGTGATTTAAAAGTCTTAATTTATTATGGACTGATGAAAATAATTCATTCTAATTGTGTTAATATACTAATTGCTTATTTAATACATAAAAAATATAAAGCTACTAATTCTTGCTTCACATGCTTAGTTTAAAAACATGTAAATATTAATGCATAGTTGAGAAAAATAGGCATTATTTAAAAGCATGTAAATCGCTATTTTGTAGATTCAAAAAAGAGAACAGTCATAAATTATTAAAAAATTTCAGTTAAAAAAAAATAATAATAATCAAAAGATTGAGTAACTTCATGTTTTATTTTTTACATGTTAACATAAATGTATCTATGCATTGCAAATTGAGCATGAATGTATGAATGACAGTAAATTTTATTACTCACATGCATGCACAGAATTAAATATGAACTCATTAAATAAAGATCATGCTTTTTCACATTTTTCATAAATTAAATATAAGTGATATAGCATACTATGCATCTTCACATAGATTAATTAATATAAATATTACAGAAATTATTTGAAATCACACTAATCTCTGTTGACTTCTTGATTTCTTAAACTAATTAAATTACTCAGGTTTTGTGAAGTTTTTGTGAAAATGTGATTACTGTGATCTTCATACTGTGATTAAATTTAGGACAGAAAATATTAAAGTTTGTCCAGAGAATAAAGTATACATTTTGCTGGTTTTATTTCTGAACTTTAAAACCAGTTCATGTTAGAACTTCTTGATTCTACAGGGACTTCAAATTTGAGCTCTGCAGTAGAGGAGCCATAAGGGTATTTTTCGATGAGACAAATGTCAGTTTCTTTCACAAAAGCTTTTGCATACACAAAGATTAATATTCTGTTTTTAAGCTGCTTGTGCAATTTTTCTTATGCTCACAAATTTTTTATTAGGCACTGTTAAGGCTGTTAGAGAGAGTGCCATCTGTGTAGCCATTCTGGAAGATTTTGAAGAGTAGGTTGGACTTGAACATTTAATTTGCAATGCTGTTAAAGTTAGCAGTTTCTTGTGTATGGCGCTCTAATGGAATGCAAAAAAAAAAGGAGGGGGGGAACGTTTTTAGAATACACTGGTATTAGAGCAAAACAGTTTTTCATTTCCTTGCAAATCATCACTTTGTAAAAGAAAAGTGGATTCTGGAAATTCACAGTGAATCCCATACGAAAATCGCGCAGTTGCATCACTTAAGGGTTCTCATAAAACTGATTCCCTGAAGAATTGGTTATGCCAGAGTTTGGCATAACCATCTTCAGGGAATCAGTCTTCAGGAACAAGAAAGTTCATAAAATAAAATAATAATTCCTGCGAATAAAATTAAAAATTAGTTCAAAAAGCGTTTAAAATTTTAATTTTTGAGTGTGTTCGCAAAAGTGTCTCGACTGAAAAATGTGAAAATATTAAAAAAATATAACTGACCATTTGAAACAAATTAAAAGGAATATAGACAAGGACACCTGCACATGTGTGGCCGCAAAATATATTTTTCAGATGTAGACATTATTCGAAATTACAATTAGAAATTCTACATCTGATAAGTAAATGCCGTCGGAGCACCTGATAAAAAGTATTTGCTTACTGTATAAGAATATACATATTTCTGATATTCGTATTACTGAAATATAAGATGGCTAAAAATTTTAATCGAAATCTACTACCCTTAGTGTATTTATGTTTACTGCACAATAACATGTTCTATATGCAGTCCGTCATGGATAAATAGATATTCCATGCGTTCTTGCGATTGCTGACAACATACGGTAACACTATTCATCGATTATATCCCTAGTTATTGATGAAGTGTTCTCACCAAGCTCTTTTACACTTCGCCGGAGGGCGTTAGAACCCTTTCTAATATTCTCCATAAGAATAAAATACTTTTACTTTCCATGCACTATTGCTTATTCCGAAACTGGTTTCGCATCCATTGCAACCATCTTATTTAAGAAGACTCAAAATACGTTTTACCTGGATGTTATAAGGATTGTATTTTTAAGACTTTGATGCAGGACTTTCTTTTGCTTTTATCAGAGCAAATGATGTATAATTAGCGTTACACGTAGTAGTGATATTTAAATTAATAATAAAAAAATTGAAGCATTTTGATAGTAGAAATGCTAAAATTTCTCATTTTATTCTATGACACTTAAATATACAAGAAATAATTCATCTATAAATTAAAATTTTAGTTAATAAACAATGGAAAAGGATTGTTTAATTCCTGCAGGGGAATTTATTGCAATTGAGTCACTTGCCCATGTATCACAGAAATTGTAATGGAATGGAAATAATGCAAATATATAGCAATACTATAAAAGTCTCGATTAAAGCAGCATCCTTCATACTTTTATCGAAATTAGCAAATCGATTACATTTTCTCAATAAAAAATGTTCTAACATCTACTATTTCAGGCACGTAGCCAGGGGTGGGACGTAACCATCGAGACTGAAGGCCTCTGCACTCCCTCCCCTGAAAGCTTGTGACGTCACACAGCTCGATCTAACCGCCGAGACTCCAAACCTGTTTTCGCGCGGCGTTAACTTGCTTCATTTGTGTTCGGGCGCCTTGGTTCGGTTGTTATTTTGTTCCAGGACTGGTAATTAATTAAAAATCGTATATAAGCTAAGCTTCCAAACAGTTGTGAAGAATGCCTCATCCTTGTTGCGTTCCCGGGTGTAAAGGAAATTATAAAAGTGGCCCAAAAGTTCGAGTATTTGGATTTCCGAAGAATAAGCAAGATTCAGCTAAATGGCTACGCGCCATACGAAGAGATAATTTTGTGGTTACTCCTCATAGTAAGGTATGTTAATTATTTATAACATTCCATTATTTATCTAAATCTAAATATTATCAGGTTTCATGTATATTTTCATTTTATATGAATTTTTATATGATGTGTATAATTACACCAGATGTAATTTTACATCTGGTGTAATAATTGCTAATTTAACTTTAAATGGAATTAAAAATGACTATATAATTTACATATATACTACTAAAAATAATTTGTATGTTTCTCGCTGTGTGTAGTGTGAGCGACCATATTTGGTTACCAAGGAAAAAATGACCTATACGGAAGCTGTTCCTACTTAACAATATGTTTTAGTAGGGTCGTATTAAAACAAATTCAATTAATTATATTTTGCTACTATGTGAATAAAACTTCCAATCTGCGAATAACGAAAATTCTTCAGGCATATCTATGTTATTTTACATTTAACAAAATATCACATTAAACATGTTTTTTAATATTAAATTAATAAATAATTTTTGTATTTTCCCATAGGTTTGTGAACTACATTTTAATGGCTGTGATTTTGAATACAACAATAGCGCCTTCGATCAGCGAACAGGTTGTCGAATAACAGTTCCCTATAAAAATCCAAGGCTAATAAAAGGGAGAGTGCCATCTAAATTTCCCAATTTGCCAGGATATTTATCATCGAATTCCAAGACACCAAGGGAAGGTCCAGATGAGAGAAGGAAACGCCATGAGGAGGATTATTTGAAATTGGCTTTACAGAAGAGTGCTGCAGAACAAAAGAACTATGACTCTAGAAGAATGTTTTCCTCGCTGGATGATTTACATGCAAAAATAGAATATATTGACACTTCAGTGTGGACTGTTTTTAGAAAAACTGACCAGATAATTTTTGCAAAAATTATAACAGATACAGCTCCAGTGATAGAATGTTCACTTGTAATAGATGATAAACTTTCTACAAGTGCATACATATATGAGACTCAAGTATATAAATTAGGTACGTACTCTTTTCCTTTAAATATAAGCCACATAGACACCCTTAACAACATTTTTGAAGCTTTAATTAAAAGTGTATGTGTAAAGAAAAGCGATGCAACAGATATTATGAAAACTGTTATCTATTTACTAAAAAAAATGATGAAATGTGATGGTAATGAAATTTTAAAACTGCAACTAAAATTTATTGAAGAGCAATTATCATTGTGTTTTTTAAATAAGAATGGTCTCAGGTATTCTTCTGACCTGATGATATTTTCTGCTCTCTTTTTTAACATGGCTCCACATGCGTATAATTTTGTTCGTAATAGTAAAAATATTTTATTACCACATCCCTCTACAATTTGTCGCATTTGCCTGTCGTATGATGTGAAACCAGATGCCGAAACATTGAATTCCAATTTTTTAATGTATGTAAGACACAAATTTAATCTTTTGGAAGATAATGATAAAAAAGTAATTTTGATGATTGACGAGATACATCTAAAACAGCATTTAGATTATAAGGGCGGTAACATTTGTGGTTTGTCTTATGACAATAAAAATTTGGCAAACAGTGCCCATGTATTTATGATTAGCAGTTTGCTATCAAAATACAAAGATGTCATTCATATATTGCCAACCAATAAAATAAATGCTGAAATAATACATGAAATTGTAAAAAAAAATTATTATTGGTTTAGAAGAAATTGGTTTTTTTGTAATATGTGTCGTAACAGATAATAATTCTATTAACAGAAAATGTATGTCATTATTTGTTTCACCTCTCCAAATACGAATCGTATATCCTCACCCCTGTGGCAATTCTAGACCTCTTTTTTACTTAGTTGATACTGTTCACTTATTGAAATGTGTTCGTAACAACTGGGTCAATCAAAAAGGTGAAAAATGTATGTATTTCCCATCATTTAATGATATTAATCAAACCTCTTTGAAAACAGCATCATGGAATGCACTTAAAAAAATGCATAAACTTGAATTTAACTCCTTGGTAAAATATGGTTTTAATTTATCATATAAAGCGTTAAATCCCTCCAATCTTGAGAAACAAAATGTTAAACTTGTGTTACAAGTTTTCAGTGATTATGTAAAGAATGGCCTTTTAGAAATAGGTAAACAAAATAATATTGCACATTTCCAAGACACATCTGATTTTATTAAATATTTGTAATATGGTGGAATATAGTTAACGTTAAATCGCCTAACAAAGGCATGCGTTTAAACAATGTATATCAAAACCCGCTAACAAATTCGGAAAATGATGAGAAAAAAAATATTTTTACATTATTTTTTAGATTGGTTAGAGCGTTGGGAAAAATTCAATTGTGATACAGGCATCTTCAGTAAAGAAACTCATTCTGCATTAAAATTAAGTACCTAGTCATTGCTTGAAGTAATATCATATTGTACTTCTGAACTAAATCTTAATTACGTATTGCCTGGCAAGTTTCAGACTGATAATTTGGAGTCTCGATTTGGTTTGTATAGGCAATTATCAGGAAGTCAGTATAATATAAGCATTAGACAGCTGTTCGAAGCTGAATCAAAATTAAGAATCCAGTCTCTGTTAAAATTTCCAAAAATAACAGATGACATTGCGTTAAATAGTTTGACAGATTTTAACAGTTTAGATCTTAATTCTATTACAGATTCAACTTTCAATGTCTCTGTAAGCCTTTCTGATATTGAATCATGTAAGAAATCTGTTCCAGTACTAATTTATGTTGCAGGATATAGTGCTTTTGCTGTGTTAAAGCATTTAAAATGCAATTTTTGCGAAAAAAAATTGTTAAGAGACAAAACAATTGAACATGCATACTTTGATTACTTCAAAAATCTAGATAGGGGTAGACTTTCTTGTCCCAATGACAGTGTTTTAAATATTGTCTTAGTTAATTATATTGTTATTAAAAAACTGTGTAGTGAATATGAATGCCTTTTCTTAAATTCATCAAATCAGCGTAATGTTGCTATTTCAATTACAAGCAATATCATATTAAATGAAGAACTATTTGAAGAAACAACTGTGAATTGGGACACTCTAACAACAAATAATAATATGATCCTTTGGTCTTCAACAAATATATTGTTAAATAATTACTGTAAAGTGAAAAATGACACACATTTGCAAAATTTAAATGATAAAAGAATTGCAGTAAAAGAAGAAAATTATCCACATTAACATGATGCATATTTCAGATTATGAAAAATAAAATGCATTAGTGTATTTATTTCTTTTTTTTTTTTTTTTTTTTTTTTTTTTTCCTTTACAACTCATTCATCTCCTTTATGTTATACTTAGATTTGAGCCACTCATTTTCTAAATCAATTAACTTTACAAAATAGAATAAGATGAAATATAATTCTTTATTTTTTATTCAGTGGACAAAAAGCAAAACAAAACAATTTAATTTTGTTAAAGTACAATATTATTAATATTTATTTTGAATGTAAAAATTGCAGTGGATTTTTTTATTTTTTTACAAATTGTTTATAATGTAATTTATCCACATACATTATTTTAAATGTAAGACTATATTGAGTATTTTGATTCTACAAACTGAATATTGATTCTATTGTAATGCATATGAATATTGCTATTTCATTTTGAGAATTTAATAGTAAGGAAATTCTTAAACCTAGGAAAAATTCTGTACATTTTCGCCTTTGCTATTTTTTTCCTCAAATATTTATTCAAGTAATTTTTTTGTTGTCATTTTTATAAATAATATGCATAACCTAAACAACATGAGTGAATTTTATTTATGATTAAATACAAATCATATACACAGATAATTAATCTATTTAAAATAAAAAGGGAATTTTGAATAAAGTCTTTTTTGAATGAAATTTGTTTTTGTTTATTTCTGTTTAAAAAAACCTTTACTTTTCCTTCTATGTTTGCTTAAGGTAATTCTCATGTTATTTTTTTCAATTTTCTTGTTTATGAAATAATAATCAAGTGCCACAAAAATTTATTTGGAAATCATAAAAATAAAAAATATTTATTGCAATTGAAATATCACTGCTAATTTATTCTTTGACTAGCATCGGAATGAAACGTATATATAAAAACAAAGTTTAGGGAAATACGGGAGGGAGCACGGTTCTTATCGGGCGATGTTCGCTTTTAGAGGATCGACGACTGTGACGTCATAAAGTAGTGCGGAGGCCTTGAGTCTCGATGGTTACGGGTGGGAGCCCGAGCACCCTCCCACGTCACCACTACCTATATTAAAAAAGCGCTAATTAATTTTCAATGAATAAGTTTTTAAAATATTACTTTCCAGCTTCCCAAAATATTCATGCGATTAACAAAAAATGAATGGAAAGTCTACGATTTTCCATTTAGAATTAAGATCAGGAAAAATAATCTTTCCTCAGCTAATAAGCGGCGGGAAAATACTTCGAAGGTTAGGGGACACTTTCAAGTCGTAAAGCTTTTGTTCTATTACAGCTTTGAATAACCTTCCGTATCCGGTCGCATATTTCACAAGTGCACATCTGTGTAGCCACCGAGGGAGTGGCTTCTAGGATAGACCACTAAGCATCCAGCAATATTTCTGTCATGTCACATGACCTTTTGCACGCTTTAAGACTTAAGCAAGATGGTTGAAAATAATTTGCCACGCAATTTTTGTACATCGTCTATTTCTTCTGAAAATTGTCATTGCGAAGTTAGATCAAATATAAGCAATTATGAAGATTTCACTACCTGGTTGAAAGAATTGGAAATAAATACAAACACGTGTCGGATACTCTGTAAAATTCAGGCAAAATATTACTTAATAAGTGATAAATAAGACGAAAGAAATCTGCGATGCACATCTGAGCCCAAATGCAATCTTTACATCAAACTATGCATATGAGAAAAATATTTACACCAGTTATATATGTAAATAGAAGTCAGCACTTTTTATTTCAGTCTATAAGATGTTATAGTAATAGCCAATGCAGAATTTTATTCAAAGTGAACTTCACTAATTTGCATTTAGTGTGTTGAATTTCACATTTAATAACTGCTCACTCCTAAATATACTGTCTACGCAAGAAATATTCATCAAACAAAATGAATTTATCTATTAACAACGAATATATTCAATTTATTCACATATAACTTTTAATGCTAACAATGGATATAATCAGATCATACACAATATGTATTCTGAATCTTACACTTTCAAAATCAAATGAATGCAAGCACTGAAATAAGAAAACACTAGACTCATTGTAAGACTTCCACTCCTTCTCAGCTCAATAGATAATAATAATAATAAACTATGCACATAAATTCTCTTAATCCAGATTTGTTAGTAAATATTCGAGGCTAATTGTAGCCTGAGTCATTTTCTCGGTGTAAAGAGCGATAATATGCCGTGAACATCAATCCAAATGTCACAGCGTGATAAAAATCGCGAAAGTGAAATGTCAGCGATTAATTAAACTCGTAAAACGAAAGCACTACGAGATTTTCTACTTTTACGCCATACATTTATAACTGCAAAATAAATGCAAATTAAAACGTAAACAACATACGCTCACATTCACAAGAAGATTTAGCGTCACAAGAGCAATAGAAGTTCATTAGTCCATTTTCGAAACCCCTCCCTCAGTGGCTACGCTGATGTGCACTTGTGAAATATGCTATCCGGTCCCACTTTACCTCTAGCCATCAAGCAATGTCACTAAAGAAAAAAAATCCCTTTCGTTTCGGACCAAGCACCTAAAAGCATAATGTTTAAAAGAAAAGAAGGATTTAAAAAAAAAATAAGTTGGGGTATTTAATTTTGAGATTTGTTACTTATTATCTAAATATTGCGCAAAAGAGGGACGGAAACACAGTGAAATAATTTTGAGTGATTGTTTTTTTACATTAACTTTCGAATTTCAGTTAATAAATATAGCAAAAATATTAAGCTTTTTTTTTTTTTTTTTATATATATATATATATATATATATATATATAATGTAGAGAGCATACCAACTTCAATGCAGTGAATTTTATTTTCTTAGTCATCTAGGAATTTAAATTATTGTTATTTAAAATGATCTAATAGGGTAGTTGTTAAATACGCAGATAAAAAATTTCTTTCACTGCCAAGTAATATATTTTATTTTATTATTAACCCAAAGGAGCAAATTGTCTAGAAGGACTATTAATTTCGTTTTGGCATTTTGTGTTGGCTCACTATAAACGGCGTTTCACTTTTCGAATTGTTGCCACCAAATGTTAGAGCGTTATATTTAAAGAAATTAATTGTGATAAAACAACGGTAACTAGACACAGGAAACTTTGAATAACGTAGTCCTTCACTCGAATATAGGCATCTGGAAGCCCAAATTTGGAGTTTAGAATTTGCTTTATTATCTATCTATTCCATATTTTGTAAAACTTCGAATTTTTTAACAAACTCATCGATTTCAAAGCGAGCAATGGCAACGTTGTGCAGAAAAAAAAATTTTTAAATCTCCAGCGCGTGAGTCTCTGTATCGGAAATTCTAAAGATATGCTATTTTTAGTTTATTTTGTGATATTGCTTTTGAACTGAATTTCATGGTTTAAGTGCAGAAAACATGATATTTGATAAATAATGGTAACACTCAAAACGTAAAAACCCCCCTTTGGGCGTAATATAAAATCTGAAACTTTCAGATTTATTTATTTACTTATTTTGTGTGCGTCTGTGTTTGGGACAAATAATCAGGTAAATACTGATTAAAAGGAAGTATAAATTAAGAGAATTTGAATAGAATGAAAAAAGCATATAAACCATTCTTCTTTTTTTTTCTTCTTGAAGCTTCGCTTCCCTTTGGTGCCTAATGCTCCAACTCAAATGTAATGTTATTTACATGTTAAACCACAAGGATGCATTCCCTCCAATTCAGCGGGGAACGTTAGTCCGAAAACCAAACCCTTACGCTACTAATACTTATAGGTCCTTTAGGATGCATTCGATGACAAATTTGCCTAGGAAATAATATGTCCAAGGTTTCTTATTACAATGATTTGAAAGATCATCTAAGAGGTCAATATTGCAAATTTTCATCTTCTTGAGCATAATGTTTCTGGCACTATCGTACTTTCTACAGTGAATAACTGCATGTTTTGTACTGTCAATAATATAACATGAGTCACAAAATGGCGAATTCGCTCTACGAAACTTGTACAACAGTTGTTTCGTGTTTAACAATTGCAGTCTTATTTTCCTACTTACTACCTCCATTTTCTTATCGATGTTTAATCCTTTACTTCACTCGCAATAAACATTAGCTGAGTCTGTGTTCGGTGTGAGAAGTCTGCCAGCAGTCGACTTGATCTTCCTTAATAGTATTCTCGATGAAACTACACGTAACCTCTGCAGAAAACCCCCCAGAGTTATTGACATTTCTTCTTTT